ACGGTCCTTGTTAATCTTGTTCATCCTCAGACATGCACAGTCCTTTCTGGTTTATTCTGACTTACTTGGTGTTTGTTTATCCCTGCAAACTATTATTCTGAGGTTTTTTTCAGTTACCGAGCTTTTTTAAACATTGTTCAGCGAGTGACTCGAAATATCCCTTTAAAGCTCATTTAACTGTCTGCCACAAAACGAACGACGTCTGTCTTTTTCCAGTTGGCGAGAATAGATAAAATTATATGATTTTATTGACATAATACCGAATTCTCTAAACTAAGTACATGTAGTAAGAAAACTTACCGGAGCTGCAAGGGAGCATTATTAATCAGAACTTGGGAGACAGAGGCTTAATCTAACTTCCCTGATCTGTTCATATTGTGATGCAGCACGACGCCAACGTGGATCTCTTAAATGACCAGGGAAATACACCACTGCACGTAGCAGCCAGGTATGGTATTGTCTTCCAAAACTCGCTCCTGAATTTAGTGATTACTGAGAAAAAATGCACGTATTATTGTTATCTTGGGGCTGCTTTTCGCTAGAGGTTGAGGGAAAGTAGAAATGCCCATTTTCAGCCTCGTCCTCGTGTGTCATATGTTGACGATGTCGTAGCTCCGGTCATTCCAGGGCATTACACTGTCCTAGGGACGAGGATATTTTTTGTTTTTAATCGATTCAGCGGTGGGTCGAGTTAATCCAGAGGTCTTAATTTTTGTGGAAACTGGAACAATATCCAAGAAAAGTAACTGGTATTTCAACGATCCTTCATTCTGTCATAGAACAGAATGTGGCGGAACTGGGCGACAAGATGGGTCAATTTAATCCTAAACAATTAAAAACAGTCTATCACTATAGTTGATGCAATCAAGGAATAAACAGATCTGGCTCACGCATTCCTGGATCTCAGATGAATTTTCTCTATTAATACACAGTAAGGGCAAACTTAGCACAGCTGCTCTGCTGAGCGATATTTTCTATCTAACTTTTCCTTCCTTTTCCAGGTTTAATTTTGTCAAACTTGTGAATTTGTTGCTCGAGAACGAAGCGTCGGTGACGATAAGGAACAAGAAACAGCTGACGCCTCTACAATATGCTCAAGTACGTATTTGGAGGTCTTGCATCTGTCATGGGTGCAGGCAAACTGTCAGAGAACTATGATAAAATGTAGGGAGGGAGGGATGGGGGGGGGGAAGTATCCTGCATCCAGAAGAAAGAGAGATACCTCTAGTTGCATCATGTAACAAAAACGGGATAAGATCCCGTGGATTACGTGGTGTTTACCTACGATGAGACCGCCTTGAACTTTTCTCAACGTTACATGCAAACTTTGATAAACTGGTTAAATTTGTTATTTTCCTCTCCATCTGCCAGCGCGATGACGTCATACGTGCTCTGGACCAAGCGAGGGGTATCAGTTTCAATGCTCGGACGAAGAGACTCAGTTACAGCAGCCACAACTCGCCATTCACACAGGGTAAGGAGATACATAACTCTTACTAACTGGGTTTGAAGTCCTTATTGTTAGTTACGGACCCAGTCTTTCCGCGGATAGTGGGGACGAGCTCAGTGAGGTGTTTTGAATGTCTCTCTTTGAAACGATTTCTCATCAAGGAGAACAGCTTGGAGAGCAAAACGGGCTAAGTCGAAACTGCATTTGAGTCGTTAGCTCGTCGTAACAGAATTATTAGAAACAAGATGGAAACAAGTGTTTTCTTGGGAAAGTTAAGAGTTTGTACTCTGTAGAGTACGACCGGACCAGGCACGGTTACCTAGTAACTTAGACATAATTTTACTATTATCTCAAATCACTGGCGCCAACCAATAACTCAAAGAGAGTTTCAGTTTTTTTTTCCTCTCATTTTTTCTTTGCCTTAATTCAGGTAATAAAGAGTCAAACTCCGCCCAACTCAAGACCCGATCCAACTCGATTCCAGCCCACGTCGGAGGGACCGTTACCAAACAGCCATTGCCTGTTACCAGTACTACTGGTCCCACGCCGACCGCGCTGCCTACTAGTGAGCCTGGAGACATATCTCTTCCTTCGCACGAGAGACTCAACAAACTGTTTGAGAGACTGGAAAGAGGTGATGTTGAACGACTTCAAGACATTGGAAAGGCTGTCAAGTCTTTTGATAGGTGAGATATGTGCCAGTCTGTTTTCAGTACTATTTTCGTTTTTTCACTGCCTCTTCGTGCACGTTTGCCTTGTGCGCCTCCGCCCTTACGCGACCGTCCTCACGTAAGAAACTATTTGCGATTAGACTAACATGCAGTAAGCGATTGTCTTTGTGATCTCCTCCTCTGCCCCTCCTCTCTGTCTGAGAGTTCATGTCTCCCAGCGAACGAAATGATAGGGGGGAAATGGTAATTATGACTAAAGGACTTCTAACATATACCATTTTATTGAATTCTAGACAGACTTCACTGAGGAAGACTGCAACGATTGACAAAAGCTCGCCACTGATTGATCAGTACCTTAAACACCAGGTGAAAGCTTGATTGTTTTGAAAAATGTGATGTCCTTTTGTGGTGTGCAATTGACCCGAAAATTTAACCCGAAAAACTGTTGTGCTTCTTTTTGTAGCTGTCCATTCAGCATTTCAATCGGTCGGCGCTCCGGAAAGTGCTTACACGTGATCATAGCCAACCAATGATTGAGCAAGATAAGAATTGCGAAAGAGATGTCAGTAGTGAAGACGAAAAAGATGATGCCAGCAAGTGATAGTCATGTGTTTACCGCGTGGAGATCACACACGACGCAAATTTCAGGAGGGACATATTTACAGTAAACAATCAGTCACCCCGAAGTGGAGTTAGATATCCACCACGACACGGGTTGTTTAATTCTTTTAGTATATACCGCTCAAGAACCAGTAAAGAAAAATGATTAGAGGTTAAACTCTTGACGTGCAAGTTTGTCTCTTTGGCTGCTCGTAGGTGAATAGTACGTGCTAATCCCTTTCCAGCTAGCCAATCAGCACGCGCGAAAAGAGCTATTCGCGTACGTGGTATATACTAAAAAAGATAACGAGAAATGGAACCAGCATAGAAATTGGATTTGTATTTTAGGCTGGTTCTTTGGTAAATGGTACCTTGTTAATGATTCTTTGAAAGTAAGTGCGTAAAGTTTTTCTCTTTGGGCGAAGCCAAATGAAGATTTTCCTTAAGAGAATCATAGTTGATTATGTTGCTAGCGCTTTAGGATAAAGCGACGTTGAATTTGTTGTAATGCCTTCAAAGAAGAACTCGTATAATATACGATTTATGGGACATAAGAGAGAAAAAAATCGATGAGAACCGAAAGAGAGTTTTCAACATATGTTCTGATATCCTTAACTTCGAAGAGCTTTGTAGTTTTGTACTGGAACAACTTTAAATGTTAAAATAATAAATCAACCTTTGTTGCCTGCGGAGTGTAGACGTCTGAAAACATCGTCACTCATTGATCACTTCTCAGAACCTTTTTACCATTTCAGATTTTAGCATTTTAATGCACTATCTTCGCCAAGATGGTGAATTCCCCAGTCAAGTATTTTACTTTGTCTCGACGAAACACATTCATTATGAGTTCACTTGTAATCCTTGCAATCTGATTGGCTCTCACCGGTGCAATTTATTTACAAATCGTACAATTTTATGCTCTAAATCTTTTTCCTAACCATTGAGACAGCTTTACTAAAAAACAACAACCAATCAAATTTCAAGGCTTGATTAAAGAACTCAACCAAATTTCAAGGAAATCAGAGACAACTTTTGAACCACCTTAATATGCTGAATCAATAAAATATTTGTACAGACTTAAAAAATGGTATTTAGCGACATAATTTTGCGATTTCGAAATAGATGTTTTAAAGTGGTAATTTAACTTCATGTTGGGCAATTTTAGACTGAAATCAAAAGTTTTCAGACTAAACTCCACTCCACTCCATTATCAAAACAATCACATAACACATGTCCCTTTCAAGTTTGGAGATTACAACTAACTCTCGTTTTAGCAGACCTTATTTTCACTCGTCAAAAACATCTGAAAATATAACTCTAGGATCGGCCACTTGTATTTGGAGCCGAAATAAATCAATGAAAAAAAATAATTCAAACAACTCTCGATGGCGTGGGGCAAGAAATTTTTTCTTATTCAAGCTGAGTTTAGACGGCGCCCCCTAAGTTAGTAAGTATAATCAAAACCGCTTTGTTGCTAGTTTTGAGACACCGCACCAGAACTGGGTTTCGATAAATGTTATGGTCGCGATTAACTAATTTTTTTTAAGATGTCAAACCCTTAGACGGTGAGCTGGAATCGAGCGCGGCCCAACGATTACGAGGTAAATCTAGGTTTCAGTACTTTTGTAAACATGGCGGCTCGCTTGCAATAAAAGGTAGGTAACTGTTTGTTGTAAACAGTCTTCATTTTTCTTGAGGTTAGATACTAGCATAGAATTTTCAAAGTATCTGCTCCTTGCAATGCTTGCTCGTGGTGAGTGAAGACCTTGTGCACAATTGTCCATTGGGTCAAGTGAATAGTTTACCACTCGCTCAAGGTGACTAGCTAATCGAAGATCAAGAGTGTTCACGAAAACTCTGAAATTCCGAGAATATTTATTCAAAATTTCTGTTCGAACTTGCTGATATTATTCAATTTTTCTACCGATACAAAGCGGTTCAAAACATTGCTGTGATTTCGTGGTTGACGATTTCCCCGCATTTTAGCTTTCTTCGAAAACGTTATGTTGTTTACGTTTAGAAACTTGCGGTTGTCTGAGTCACTGAAGCAGTTTTACTAAAACCTGGATATCCTTCATTCTCCACTTCCTACCAGATTTAAAAAGTCCCCATTCGATCGAGATGAAGATATTTGATGTTTTAATACAAGTGCCAATGTTTGCATTTCGAAGTATTGAAGTAACCTCGTGGTCACTCATGGGAGTTAAGGGGTTAAGTATAATTGCATTGCTGACTGATTAAAAAAAAACATTCCATCTTTCATATTAATCATCAGACTTGAAGGATTTTCTCATCTTCACGTCCATAAAAGCCTGTTCTGTAGCTTGACATGATGCTTTGAGAGTGTCCAAGTCATGCAGCCGGAGCACAGTAAGCAAGGTATTGAGCTGGTATCCATTAAAACCTTGAAAAAGCAGGAAATCCCACAAGAACACTGTTATGGACAATGTAGACCAGTCACAGAGTTTGAAAAACTCAATCGAATCGGAGAAGGAACTTATGGTGTGGTTTACCGTGCTCGTGACACTGTTTCAAACAAAATAGTTGCACTGAAAAAAGTAAGAATGGAGAGAGAAAAAGATGGCATACCTCTCAGTGGATTGAGGGAAATAAGTCTTCTGTTAAATCTGGAACACAAGAATATTGTGAAGCTCATGGAGGTAGTTGTGGGAAAACACTTAGACAGTATTTTTCTTGTCATGGAATACTGTGAGCAAGATTTGGCAAGCTTACTAGATAACATGACATCTCCTTTCCAAGAATCACAGATCAAGTGTTTGATGTTACAGCTATTCCATGGAGTACAGTACCTTCATGAGAAGTTTATTGTGCATAGAGATTTGAAAGTATCAAATCTATTGCTGACTGGGAAAGGAACCCTTAAGATTGGTAAATAAAGACATAGTTTTAAGTCTTAATTCAATTAGCTCATAAAATGTTTGAACTCTTGTGTGCATTATCAACTTGGAATGCAGAGAAGGAGGTTAGATTGTCCTTGAAAGAAGTGAAGTGTGGCCTTTCAAAGGAGGTTGATTGTCCTTGAAAGAAGTGAAGTGTGGCCTTTCAAATTTTTCAGTTAGTTGTCAGCAAAGTAAATTATTATTCCTGCTTTCATTAGCAGTATCTGCTAAAGTTTGCATCCTTTTTTGAAAATGCTTACCTTTCAGCCGATAACCTTAACCCTTTTATTAGTATTCATATTCTCCACACTGATCTCTTTACATTTCATATGGAACTGACAAGGAGAATTTGTCAAATGATCATGAGCTTCTTAGATTGGTGCTTACCACCTTTATTCTTTTGACCATTAAATTTGATTTAATTAAGGCAGATTCTGCAAGGAGAAATCAGAAGCCAGTCACTCTAAGGGGTAAAAGGCTTGAAATAGAGATACAAAGCAATATAATTTATTAAATTTTGCTAAAGAATTATAGCTGCCCCAGGAGAATTAGATGCTTATCTCTCTTATGTAGTGTTGTTAAGTTGCCTTTGGTCAGCTGGCCTACCCATTTGGTTGCCCATGCAAGGCTATGACACTGATTTTTGTGACCCAGTGGTATACAGTCCTCTAATTAATTATCAATATTTTAGAGAAAGATGTTTTGCATTTGTCACAAACATAGGCCAAAGAAAAATATTTGAGTCCCGTGAGGGAACAAGGCTTAGACCTTTGGATTCCAGGCTCCTATGCTCTACCACTGAGCCACAGAGACACTATGGTGAGCAAGGCCATCAAAAAGTTCATATATGACAAGCAGCATGCATATTGCAAGGATCAGTCAGCAATGTTGATAGCATCATGTTCCCCATGGGGACTCAGAATGTTTTCATTTTTTTCTTTGTCCCACACTTGTGACCAGATATTGTTCTCTGTTTCTTTACTGAGCTCAAAATTTACCATCTTCCTTATTCTTTTTATCATTTTTATGTTATGTTGTTTAGCCGACTTTGGTCTGGCCCGCACATTTGGTTACCCATACAAGGCCATGACCCCGATTGTGGTGACCCTGTGGTATCGTGCACCAGAGCTCCTTCTTGGCTCCAAAGTACAAACCACAGCTGTGGATATGTGGGCTGTGGGCTGTATTTTTGGTGAGCTCCTTGACAATAAGCCCCTTATGACTGGAAGATCAGAGATCAACCAGTTTCAGCTCATCGTGGATCTACTTGGAACACCAAGCGACCAGATTTGGCCAGGATTCACGAGCCTCCCTGGAGCCAAGTCCATAAACTTCAAACGCCAGCCTTATAATAATCTGAAACACAAGTTCTCGTGGTTGAGTCCCGCGGGACTGACTCTAATAAATCATTTATTAATGTACGACCCGTGTAAAAGAGCCTCAGCGGCCGACTGTTTGCAGAACTCGTATTTTGTCGAAAAACCACTCCCGGTGCAACCGGATATGATGCCAACTTTTCCTGAGCACCGGAACCGGAACTACAATAAGAGGCCGTCTGATCATCGTGTTGGAGAGAAGCGGCCTGTTCCACACGAGACAGAGTATGAGTTCCGAAGAGGGTTCGCTGATTTTGGGCCTCACTTGCCTCAAAAAAAGAAAAAGAAATGAAACTGCTGAGAACTTTTTGGTTGCTCATTAAATATCAACTTTGCATTTGCCTCACGGTGTTCTATGAAAAGCAAAGTGGCTTGCTCATTCAGCTTGGCGTCAACGACACTTGATCGGTATGTCAAGCAGCCGCGTATATTTATGCTATCTACCTTTAGCATGATGACCTAAAAATAACAACATGGAAGCTACAGCAACTTGTCGCAAAAACTGACTTTAATGGCTCTGAGAAATTATCAGAATGACTAAGACTTAGAAAGGCAATATTAAAATTGTTGGTTTTGTTAAAGCAAAGGCTGAGGTTTTGTCCCGTAAAACAGTTTTGCATATTGATGTGTTTATTTCAATAATTTCTCAAAAAATTTTGGTAAATTCTCAAGAAAAAAAAAGCGGCAGAAAAAACGACACAAACAAGCACCAGAGTCTTCAGGGCATAGCTGTAACTAAAATACTCTGAAATACAATACTGTGATCTGAGAGTGAATATTTAGACAAGATTATTATCAGGCTTAAGTCCTCAGAAAAATAATATTATTTAGGGTGGGCATCAAAACTATGCACTCTATTATAGCATGAAAGTGGACGAAAGTGTATCTTGAAGTTAAAAACAAAATATGTGTTGGTTCCTTAAAGGAAACTAGTTAGACGATTTCAAAAACATTTGTAAACAGCTTCATGTGGACCTAGCAACTTTGCTATGGCAATGACAGAATCATTTAAGCATCTACCACGGAGTTGACTGAGTGGGTGTTTGATCTGAAAGAGCATTTTGGTGTCAATATTGATAATATGATTTCAGGCTTCACTGCGTTACGTATTCTTGGAATATCACAATATTGAGTGGTCGTCGTCACTTTTTAAACGCTGGCACAAGAATACTCTGCTTGAACTAAGTCTTGTTTCGATAGATTTCAAAAAATGTTTAAGGCATCTGTATGGGAACTCGCATTATTTCAGTAGAAGCATCACATGATCATTAAGTGGACTAGCTATGGTCGTATCAAAACTTATGAACGAAGTAGCCTCGGCAATATTTAAGCGCAATTTACAGTCTTGTAAATTTTTGTTTACAAAAATGATGTACTTGCAGCAAGCAAACGACATCTTCGCTTGAGCTGAAGCTTTTAAGATTACATAACAAGGATAGGAAATCTCGATTAAATGATAACATTACATCGTCAAAATAACGAAATTTGCAACTGGCTGAAGTCCCAAAAAGTGTTCCTTTGGATGTTTATGACAGCAAGATTTTTAAACGTTAATGTAGTTTAGACATTTCGAAACAACGGTAGTCAAAAATTTTTTTCTTAACTTCTTCAGTCACATGACCAATATTTCTGTGCTATTTTAAGATTTTCATTTATGATAACTTAGTTTTATGATGCGAGATTCTAGTGCATTGTCACGTTCTCTTTCTCTCTTGTTTTGTTGTATGGTTTTCAAGTTTTGAAGTAATAGTGGTCAAGTTTTCCACCTCTATACATCTGTTCAATCAGGCAAAAAGATATTTTGCGCGATTTCAGAGCCTGATTTGAACTGTGATAAAACTTTGTGGTGTTATCCAAGTCATGAGTTTCGAATAACAATCTCTTCTCTTTTCCTCGAACATGGTCTCTTTAATAATCCAAAAGCTCGATTGTTCTTCAAAAATTTCAATTGATAGCTGTAGCGGAACAGATAGAGGTCTTTACGGTTAGGTTTTTTCCGTTACGATGCCGAATGGCTTCATGGGTTATGCTTGTGTACCCTGTTTTCAAGTCAAGAATCAAATGCTCCTCGTTGTTGTGGTTTGCTTCCGCCGGTGAAAAAGGAGAATCCAGCAATGTGCACATCCATTCTAGCTCCTTAGTATCATCACTTCCAGGCAAAGATACTTCCACCAAACAATTATTTCTCATCGAACGGTTTGGAGTGTCGCTTATACCCTTTTGTGCCCTTGTGGGGACAGCCCCTTTTAGAAATAGCTGTACATGCAAACGAATTAACCTATGATAAGTGCCAGAGATATTGACAGGGAATTTTCTCTGACGCTATGAACTCAAAAATATCGGCTCAGATAAAACAGTGTTCACAGGCATGATATAAATTTTGAGGAGACCACGGATCTTTTAGTCTCCCTCATCCATTTAGTTGTCATTTAGACATTTGGGGTATGCTCGATGGAGAACATGGTGTTAAACATCTTTATTTTGTTTCTTGCGATCCATGCCGTAACAGCTGCAGTGACATTCGTAAGACATCGGAGAGAAGCTTGTAAGTTTTAACTAATTTATTTATAAACTAGGCGTTACAACCCTCACACCAACAGAACGCAAGCTATACTCCCACGAGAACACTGATTTATTGAAAATGTAGTCAACAGTAACAGACTTAAAGCTGAAAGCTGATTTCAGTTTTTTTTCCACAATACATTTCAAAAACTTCACTCGAAAATGCATGTAAGTTTAAGGTATATTTTCAAAACAAAGCTTACGTGTAGATTACGTATGTAAATCTCGAGGAATTGCGTAAGACAATGGAATTAATTCGTTTTAAAATAGCTCAGAATTCTTAGAACAACTAGACCAGCAAGAATGCTTACTCCCACAAAGCAATTAAGGATATTTCAGTTTATGTATTTAAGTTAATTTAGGCGTGATGTTTTCACTGGTGGACCAACCTTCCAACGTGTACGCATGAATTTTTAATTAGTACAAATTGAAAACTCGACTCGCAAAACAGATTACTCTCAGCAAAGAAATTGCTGTAACTTGCAATTTTTCTTTGTTTCAAAGAATCATGCTGGCAATAAAAAGACTATTTCAGATTGAATCTTTTATAATCACTAAATCTTACCATGAGATTTAAAAATTAAAAAGAAAATCACATCACTCAGAGGCAGGTACGAGTCAGATCTTCTAGAGTTCAAGCAATTTTTTTGCGTAAAAGTTCATCTTTTCTTGAACAGAATGAAAACCAAAACGAGTGAAGAAATTGTCATGGAATCAAATATCTCTTGTTTTCAACCTGAGATAAGTTATAAACATGAATTCACCACTTTGTACCTCCGATTCTTAAATCCTATCCTACGAAGACTCAAAATGATGTTCTTACCATTGACGTAAGCTGTTATCTTATTTGACAGATAAAAAATAGCGTAGTGAAACCTTTAAAATCCTAATGGTTAATTTATTCTCCAGTAAATTTGACAACTGTGCACACCAGGCATGACGACATCGCCCACTTCACGTGCACATCACGTGACCAGACAGCCAGCATCACTTGGAAAAGGGAAAGAAAAGACTTATCAAACAGCGATCTTGGTGTAGCTGTGCTCGAAACGAAAAATGGCGGGAATATGGAAAGCCATCTATTTGTCGCTGTGACTGATGATGATTTACGAGGAAAATACGTTTGTATATCAAGCGATAAACCTGATGAGGTGCTACGTACATTTGTTATTGAAAGTAAGTAAACACTCTGCTTAGTATTTAATTA